AGGTGGGGGCAAAAAGGTAAGATGAGTACAGTGTAAGTGGTGGTATAAGACATACAGTCGGGTCGTGGTAGTTCAAAGTCAATTGCCGGTTCATAAACTTTTTTGCCATATGAGTATGAGATACCCAGGGTACACAATATGGAGATAAGTTTATTGCGCACACCATAATAACAATAAAAGTAGTAAAAATAGTTATGAAAATTATAAAACCTATTTAGAAAAGCACGGGGTGTGCGATAGACTTACCTCCACGTGGTGCACCCTGGGTAACATATACTCATACGGCAAAAAAGTCTATTATTTGGCAGTTGACTTCTAACTTCAAACTACCATGACCCCATTTTATGTCATATTCGACTATTTCCACAGTACTCACCTCGCCTTTGTGTTTGTCTCTTACATCTTTGAAACACTCTTCTGTTCCCCCCCCCCCCCAACTCTTTTCAATTCGATGTTCCTTCCCCTCTGTGAAGCCTGAAATCAACTAAAGGGCTAATGATAACCATCAAAACGCCTACCATTTGAAATAAATAAATAAATTTAGAAAAGCACTTCCAAAGCTCCGCTAGGGTTTGGAAGCTCGTAATCATTAAGCCCTTCTGGTGCGATGCTCAAATTCTACTAAGTTGTATATTAGTAAATTCGTTCAGTTTAGCATTCCACTCACTGTTTACGCGCTGTTGGGAATCGAATCCGTGCCACCGACAGAGAACAAAGAATGAGTTCTAAGGCTAGGCAGGTTTCTTTTATTCCTGTCATTGTTAATCATCGTGCCGTCCAAATTTTACTATATTCGCTCATTTTGGCAAGAGAGACGGATTTATAACCAGGAGTAAGCATTCAATGTAGTTGTCATGGTAAATCAAAGTACGGCTCATTTTAGAGTGCGTTATTTAATTCACTAGTTATGAGGAAAATTTCCCTTTTTCAAGCCTTAATCAAAGAGTCATCAGCCAATTTTTAAGCCCAATTAAATTCAGATACTCAGTAAAATATTGAAAAGCGCTAAATTTGAATGAATAAATTTACCGTTACATTTTTTCAGTTTTCATATATGTAACCAAAATTAAATCTGTTACCTACTTTATTTGTTTAAATGACATGATTATTATGGGAATAGAGGACATTTTTATTCGAAGGGATCACGTATGAGTAAATATTGGGAGGAGAAGAAAGCAAATACCCCAGCGAATGAAAGAAAAATGACTTCCGTGCAATTTATTTTTATACTTCTCTCTTGTTAGAAGAAAGAGAATTGTAGCAATTAGAGGACACAATGATGTTTCGGGTAATTTGTAAATTGTGGAAACAAGCATTGAACTGCAGGTCTCAGCCCTCGATTTGACTTCGTGACTGTTTAATGAAAAGGAGATGGGGATTTTCCACTCCAATTTAAAACAATTGGTTCAATTTGAAACGAAGGAGAACGTGCCAGGATGTAGTAGATCTACCTCAGCAAATCCCTCTAATTAGCCGAAAGGCAATTGGTCGGTAGAGTTCATAACGCTGCCAAGGCTGAACAAAGAAGCCTGATATGCATTCGAACATTCTGGAAAGCGCGTGGAAAACACCTGATAGCAATGCGTGCAAGTGCGGTCATGAGTGCAGAGAAATTAATCAATTAACATTACATATCCGCTAGAGTATGGTGGCCCTAATTGTATTTTTACGTCTAGTGGCTCATTGGATGTAGTAAACGCTACTTGCTACACACCTTCTGTCTCCTGGTTAATTTAGAGGCAACTTAGCTGATTTCTGGATCTATTTTGCCAGAGAAGAATGTTGAGGTTTAGTCGAGGAGGGTGTGCGATAGACTTACCTCCACGTGGTGCACCCTGGGCAACGTTACTCATACGGAAAAAAAGTCCGTTAACTGGCAGTTTGTGTGCGATAGACTTACCTCCACGTGGTGCACCCTGGGCAGCGTATTTTCTTACGGCAAAAAAGTCTATCACTCGGCTTTCGTTATATTCATACGGCAAAAAGTCTATTAACTGGCAGTTAACTACGATAGACTTACCTCCACGTGGTGCACCCTGGGCAACGTTACTCATACGGAAAAAAAGTCCGTTAACTGGCAGTTGACTTCTCACTTCAAACTACCATCACCCCACTGACTGTGTCATATTCGACTCCTTCCACAGTACTCAACTCACCTTTTCTCTACCTTTGTCTGTCTATTTTACATCTGTGAATAATTTTTCTGTCCCCCATCTCGACTTTTTGTCACTTTGGTGTTCCTCCTCCTCTCTGTGAAGCCCGAAGTCAGCTGAAGGGCTAATGATAACTATTAAGACGCCTGCCACTTGAAAAAGAAGGTTTAGTCGAGGCGTACTTGTGTAGCGTCCACAATGGTTTGTCAAGGAAATTCTTATTGTTTCGCTTTTCTAATGTCCCCTTTTAGTAATAATGTAAGCATAAATGCTCCAGTTAATTTATATTCGACCAAGCATTACAAAATTAAGCTTATGAATATATTCCAATTGATTATCGATTAATTTTTTCTCCAGTATCCTCAAGTTTAGAGTGCGGTTTCGTAGAATCATTCGACTTTATTCCAAATTTCAATCGATTACAAATATATTTTAAAAAATCATCTTTTTAATCAATTACTACTGGAATAATTAAGTAAAAATTGTAATATTAGACTAAAATATTAATTACAATCTTTACAGTATTTCATTTGTTGGAAATATTCAATCAAATATCATTTAGGCTAGTATGATTATACGAAGCAAAGGACGTTTCACAGTTCCTTTATTATATTACTCGTTTTGTGTTTGTCAATATTATTTTGAAAAAATAATAAGATTATAAAACGTTAACTTAAAAGACGTTTTTCGAATTTATTGACCCATTTCGAAGTATTTAAAATCGTGGGTGAAATATTCCCACTGAAGATTTCAAGAGGTAAGAGGAACGTTAAAAATTGTGAGATTAGTTGAAAAGGCAAAGTTTCTATAGAACAGACAGTTTTAATTCTAAATCAATTTGCATGAAATAATGTCACATGATGTCAGATGTGATAGAGTTCTCACAATTGCCATATTTTAGTGCATAATGCCTAATAGCTTACATGCATATATCACTGAAATTAAATTAAAGTTTGGTTATTTTCCACAAACGGCTGTATCGGTTATTTGATCAACCATTAAGTAATACTTTACATTAGTTAATCAAATATCGATCGTTCTACTAATACTTCGTGAAACGAATTGACTAAATGAGGTAAGTAGAGTACAATTGAATTAACCTTCCCTTTTCCAACGAGCAGTATATTCCAGAACTGCCACACATGCAACTTTGACGTATTTCTTAAAAAAATACCCTCGTTCAATTCTTGCCTTAAAATATGTATCAAACATTTATTTATATTTATATCAAACGGCAGACTTTAGGATAGTTATCATTAACCCTTTAGTTGACTTCGAGCTTCACAGAGAGGAGGAATATCAAAGTCACAAGAAGTCGAGAGTGGGAACAGAAGAGTGATTCACAGGTGGGGAAGAGAGAGACTGTCGGGTCATGGTAGTTTGAAGTCAACTGACGGTTCATAGGCTCTTTTGTCGCATGCGTATACATTGCCCAGAGTGCACCACTTGGAGGTAAGTCTATTGAGCACCCCTGTACGAAACATCAATATTTTACTCTCCCTACGCTTCTCAAAATTATAAATATATATACTCAGTAGCAGATTATTGATTATTGACTTTTCCTTATCTCTCTTTCTCTCATTCACTCTATCTTTACTCTTCATGTTTCAATTTCCCCTCCACAGGTCCTTTCCTCATTAACTTCGCATCTCCCCCAGTCTCCATGCAATTTTTACTTCTCATTACACAACATATATCGGTCTTCTCACTTTGAGAACAGTGCTTGTCTACTGTTAGCAGTGGTCACTCAAAGTATTCACGGATCTCTGAGTTAGCCGATTTATTTTGGAGATCGTGGTAGTGCTTAAACTAGACTAAAATATTCTATTTCTACTATTCCGTTGACTAGTAAGGGCATTAATTGCTTGTCACATGCTGAGCTATTAATGAGAGAGCCAAAATTTTATTTCTTAACAAGTTGTGAGACCACCGTTAAGGTCAAAAAGTTGAATGACACCCTGACAAGCTTCTCTCTATTCAAGAGAGTAAACCTAATAATAAATTCAAAAATGTTTAATATTAGATACTGTCTTAAGAAGACCATTAGACTAGCTAAAATTGGTTTTAAAATATTGTAAACTTTGTGCTTTAAATTGAGTACAAGATATGTGTGGTACTTTGAATACATAAACTCTGGAATTTTGCAGGAAAAAACGAAAGGCACTCTCTAAAACTAGCTCCAACTACACAGATGAAAAAGTATTGAATATTCAACTTTTTATTAAATAATAAAAGCAAAATAAATAACAAAAACTTCTATTTAAAGATTAAATTAAAACGAGGATGGGCCTTTGCCATCATCGCAGACAACTTTGAGTATAAATCTTTTAATTATTAGTTTTAGCAATAAATTAATGTAATTGCTAAAAATATTTTATTCACAGACTATTTTGCCAAGTAATATTTAATTTTTTTTCTATTGTTTGTAATAGAGTTTCAATGAAATATCATTATATTTGGTCTCCGAAACTTAAATGATTTCTTGAGTTACGCATTAATGAAGAGATACTCAACACCTTCAATTGATTTCTACATTGGCACCTTCAATGCCGTAATCTCAACTATATTAGCATTAAGGCAATCTTACCTATCGTTTCGCTTGAACCTACCTAAATTTAGTTCTAAAAATATTTTTTGAACCCCAGTCTCGTCAAAACACTGCCAGTTTACCTCTAGCGATGTTTATTTCGTTGACAAAAAATTTCTTAACCTTTGTAAAAAAAAGAATAATTTAACTTTATAGCACATAAAACGCCAAAATTCATATCAAATGAATATCTTTGAATGGAAAAAGGTGATTATGTTGTAGGAATTTCAGTGAGATTAATGGTTGTCATAGACTTGATCCTATTGTTCTGTGAATTCCTCTTTTTCAATTTTCCAATCATCATCATCATCATCAATATTTTGACCTTCTGTTCGCCTACCAATTGCCACTGAATGGGTGAAGGCTGCCGCAAACAGATGACCCAAACCGATTGAACCCGAACGGCAACGATCCCTGAATAGAAGATAAAATCAATATTTACCAACACATTGCCCAAAATATTAATGTTCGTAGATCGGAATGATTGAGATGACATTTTCAAATCATTATCCATAAACTCGTAAGATGACTGTCACACAGGCGTACTTATCTTCAGTTATATCACCCCCCCCCCTTCCTTTCAAAATTCCAGGACTTTATGAGCCGTCATTGATATCGATCTATTTCTAATATAAATCAAACTGAAACTGCTGATCTTCGTCTACTGCTGAACGTGGTTTACAAATCTTCATTAGCACAACATAATATCGTATAAAAGTGCTCTCAAATTCATAGACTTGAGTTAAAAGGAGTATGTTATTATCACGACGCTTGTTTTACTACACTCTAACTTTACCATAGTAGCAAAATTTCCAATTCAAACATCTAAGTGGGAGATATAAAAAAAGGAAAAGTGAACTAACTTACATAAGCCATTCAACTGCAAAGAGAAGCGATACTTCCGCAGTGCTCACACCAATCGATGAGAGGATTGTGATGATAATGATGATGCTCGAACTTGGAACGTTCGGAATCGCAAGAGTGGCAAAACCCGTCAAAAGCCTACAATGGGGAAAGTGATCAGTAACTAGGTGTTACGTAAAGGCGTAATCTCAACAGTGTCCGCCTCTTTCCTCACCATGGAATACTCCACATATATATATCCGAAATTCCTTCTTCTTCTATGTCTGATCTCGAATACTCAACTGAATCAATAAAGTCTTAATATTTCATCCTAAGGGATGGTGAAAATTCAGTTGTTTAACATCTTTCTAATAACTTTTAATTGGTTCCAAACTAATTGAAGGAGCAATATCAGTAATAATTAATTTAGAAATTTGTAATTTAGGCTTTTGAACATTGCTTGCCAAGGATAGAGTCTGCATTATGCTGAGTCGTAAGATAAATTACTATGATTTCAAGCCAAACGAGTCACTGCCAATGACAAGTCTGGCTGGTTAAATTAGTGCGCGCGTATATTTAATTAGAGCCAACTTACGCAATAATTACGTAAGTGCCGACTGTCAGTTCGTAGTGAGTCATCTGCGCGATAAAGACGCAGGCAATGGCTTGGAACACCCCCGAGGCGTCACCTTTGAGAGCAGCTGAAAATGGAATCACAAACCGGCTGACTTTCTTTGATATGCCATATTTATCGCAAGTTTCCAACATTTCCGGAATAGCAATGACCCTAAACAAAAATAATTACAATAATTGAGAACGCTCAATTTTATAATTCAGTAATAAATTTACTCTTATTTGAAATTTTGCTTAAAATCCAAATCGCCATTGCCACTGAATAAATTAATTAATTTAAATAATTACGTTCGAAAAGCGACTCGTTTATAAATATATATTTTTAACCTCAAAATGCTTAATTGCTTACAATATTTTCAGATCATTTGACATGATTAAAATTAATAATATTATTATTTTTATCATTTAAATATTTTCTCTAAATCATTTTTTGAAAAAAAGTGGTATAGTACGAGCAAACGTATTAAGAATTCCCTGGTAAACTAATTAATTATGACTGGTTTAAGTATGGCGGGATATAAAACCAAAATTCTTTGAACCACATCGATAGTTGGAATCCAGGGGGCAATCAAGAACTGTAAATTTCATTAGTGACTTACGGTGAGGTGGTGATAAATGCGAGAAAGGTGACTCGGAAACCCATCCACACGAGTTTGAACGGGTTCCTAAATGAAGCAATCGAGTAGACGATTATCTGAAGGATCATATGTACAGCTAAGCCAACCAATACTGTGGCCATAAAGAGACCTAGACCTTGGAATGTTCCAGCGACGTCATCCAACCCGACAACAGCACCAGCAACCATGAAACAAACTCCAACAGGAGTAGCTCTGAATGAAATATTTAGTTATCTATCATAAAATTCTGGGAAAAAAGGTAATTTATAATCAATCTGCGAATGTACTGAAGGAACCAGCGCATGAGAATCAGAACCACATTTCCAAGAGCTTCGAAGAAGTTGACGAAAACCTCTCCTGCTTTGCCTGAGGCACCGGCAGCAATGCCAAAAGCGATTGTTGTAAAAATTAAACCTGAAAGTAGATTAAAATGCTAGTTTAAACATAATCATATTATAATTAATTATATTTTGTTTAAACTTGCCGATCATATCGGTTGATTCCAAGTTAGTTTGGACTGCTTCTGTAACATTTTTTTCCGGATAATAAGGCCACCTTCGAATGGTTTTAATCTGTAATTAAAAGTACATTTCGCCAAATCTCAAAAAAAGTTATAACAATAATAATAATTATTATTATAAAATTACATACCTGATAAATTGTTAAACTGACAATATTGTCCGGAAAGATGTTTCTTAAAGTAAATATTAGATTAGAACATTTAATTTGTTTTCATTATGAAGCTATTAATTTTCTATTATTCTCATTTGCCATAAGTATATTATCAAGTTAAAATTTAATACTTTTATTTATTTAAAAAAGTTATTGTCACTTAATTGCTCAAAATTGCATAAAATAAATAATAAAAAATTACAAGAATAGATCAGCAAAAACATCAGAGGTTGTCACTGGGGCATCATTTGGACCCTCCTCTTCAGTTGTATTAGTTGTAAGCTGCGTTGACAATCCTATTTTTTTTAAATAAAAGAATATTATCATTTATATTTTTTGGTAAATACAAGTTTTAATGAAAATGTTTTTTATCAATAAATTTTTACCCGGACCGATAGCGACTGCTGTAATGACACCGATTGCTCCACTGATAATATCAAATCCAATGACAAATCCAATTGCGGCAAAACCCATTTTTCCATTTTTCTTTGGCTCCATTCTTGCCATAACTGGAATAGAAATTTGTAATATTAATAATCCACGTAAATTTGTTAACTTTTTAATAAAAATTTTGTTTAGGAAACTCACCAACTATGATATTTGCAGCAATAACAGGCAATATTGTAAGCTGAAGCAATCGAATGTAAATATCACCAATCATTTCTAAAATGATATACATAAAAAATTTAATTAATTAATTATTCACTTCATTATTTCGGTTCAGTTGAAAATGTATTTTTAATTTTGAGGCGTTTTTTGCATAACATAAATATTGCTTTTAAGTGTATTAACATTTGTTATTTTGGCACATTTATCGAACATTTCTGTACTATTAACTCCTTCACTCTTAAGTTGTTTTTTAATAACGGAGAATTTGGAAAGACGCCGAACTCACTTATCCATGTAATTGCCGTTTGTGATGGATGCGTAGAACCAACGCCAAAGCCAATTCCAAAGCCAATGGCCACACCGATGAGTGTCAAAATCGTGAAGAGATTATCTCGCATGCCTTTCAGGAATTTCTGTCCACATGTCGTGGGCTCCTTTTCCGCCACTTCAACACCGTCTTCTGTCGACCACACTTCTGACATTTTTCCCACGTTTTCCAGCGAACGTAGCTAAGCTCTGTGCAAGATTCTAATAATGTTCTGGCACTACCTCCTTCATTGGCATGACGAGGGTGTTCTTTTGTGAGGTATGGTGTGACGTAGGTTGGAAGAAGTGATTGTGCGTACCCAATTCGTGGCTTTTGACTGGTGCTATTGGCATGAAACTGGATACAGTACATTTTTGGAATCCAGTCTATCAAAATGCGTTATAAATGGCGGTGTTTGGGGTATAAATAGCCTTTTAAACAACTAAATATTAACTTACATTAATCGATTTCAACGCAAAGGGCCAAATAAAATTAGTAAAATCAATTTTAAAATTTTGTTGACAACACAATTTCCCCCTTTTCTATAAATTTAAACGTTTCACCCCAAACTATTTACAAATTTTCTTTTTCCTTTCCGGAGAATAATTAGAATACTTTCTGTTAAAATCGTGCTTAGGTAGAAATGATTCTGAAGTAGTTTTAGGAATCGGTACGACGAATAGAAATGATTTGGTAAAAAAACGATGAATAACCACACAGTCCTAAATAATTAGTCGATATTATTATTTCAAATTTCAGGCTTTATGATATTTATCATTAGCCCTTAAACTTTGACTTCAGCTTCCCCCAAGGGTGGGAGGGGGGGGGGTACATTTATAGCAGTTAATTAATAGAAGTTCATTAGCTGTCTTCTTGCTTCCCAGTATCTCTGGCTTTCCGTCGTTGTCTTTAAGGCTGGACATCGAATCAGGTGGGTCTTCTCCACATAGGGGGTATGTTGGTTGAGTGTATACTCCTAATCTGTAAAGTACTTTGCCAGGCAATCGTGTCTGGCACGTAGTCTAACCCCAGTAACGGCCTCGATTCTTGGCCAGTTGGCTATGCCGTGAAGTGCCACTGTCCACTATTTCTCCTTTGTTCGAGCTTTAAGTTGGTTTCACCTTGAGGTCTGGAATTCTCTTCTGATTAAGGCCTTCATTGTGTGGAAAGACATTGGCCGGTCTATACCTTGCAAAATTGTAGTCCCCTTCTTAGCAAATGCGTCAGCACGCTCATTGCCTTTAATGCCCCAGTGTCCAGGGTTCCATTGTAAAACCACTGTTTTGTTTCTTTCTCTCAGTCGATATCTTTGAAAATGTGTCATGATCTTGATGGCAAAAGATGGAAAAAAATGCTACTCTTGGAATATGTAAATAACGTCATGGAAGCTAGATAATACCGCCACCCTCTCTAGAGTATTCAGGATGCCAGATGCAGAAATTTAGTTAGACGCTGGAGGAACTAAAATAGCTAATTTAGCAGAATGAAATCAATGCAAAAAAAAACAATTTTATTTCAGCTATGATCTTTTCAGTAAAATTAAGTAATTTTGTCATAAATCGCATGAAAGTGAAGGAAAAACCATAAATATTGGCATTGAAATATGGACAACTGGGCAACGCTCTATTTTCCGAATTTTCTATTCATTCGAAAAATAAGACCTTATGCATTTTTGGTTACTATTTAAAATTTATTTAATTCAAATGGCAGGCGTTTTGATAGCTATCATTAGCCATTAAGCTGACTTCAATCTTCACAGAGGGAAGGTTCATCAAAGTAGAAGAAAGTCGGGGGGTGGGGTACAGAAGAGCGATTCACAGATATAAAAGAGGCAAACAGACACAAAGGTAGAGAAAAAGGTGAGGTGAGTACTGTGAAAGGGGTCGAATATGGCAAGCAGTCGGGCCATGGTAGTTTAAAGTCAGAAGTCAACTACCGGTTAATAGATTTTTTTGTCGTATGAGAATACGTTGCCCAGGTTGCACCACGTGGAGGTAAGTCTATTGCACACCCCACTATTTAAAATGTCACATAGAATCTGCAGTGAAATTGCTTCTCAGGTGGTATTTTCTGCTTCTTTAATATACATGTTCGATGAATAAGGTAATTATTCAATACTTTGCAGTTAATTATGTCAATTTGGTAAAATTATAGTTTTATCACCTATTTACTAGTGCGTATAAATAGATATCTAAAATTAAATGACCCAAATTTAACTCATCAATCATTATTAGTAACAGGGTCTGGAAAAGTTCCAATCCTTCACCTACTCAACAATTTGCTGGAGTCTTTTGTTTTATAATTGAAGAAGGTTTGATCGAACACAATTCCACAAACATGCACATCAAATAGATTAACTAGATAGCCTTTTTTGTTAACTATCATCGCGGTTTCAGGTCAATTTGAGCCACCTCATTATTGACCGAATTCTGTGGAATTCCTTATTAAAATAATTCACTTTAATGTTTAAATCTATAAGCACGCACCAGNTCGCAAATTTCTGCAATCTTTCCCACGCCTCCTTTTCAAATATTTACAATTTTGCCAATAATTATTGATAATTATGATATTAATACTTGATGCACTATAATACCGATAATACTAACAAGTGATATCATTCTTTTTGCGAGAAATTAAATTTTAGCGAATATGCACAATTTTGTCATGTTTATATATACTTGCTGTTTAAAAATTTATTTATATCAAATGGCAGGCTATATGATAGTTATCATTAGCCCTTTAGTTGACTTCAGGCTTCACACAGAGGAAGGGACATCAAAATGAGGAATAGGTGGAGAGGGGGAACAGAAAAGTGATCCACAGATGTAAAAGAGACAGACACAAAGGTAGGGAAAAAGGTGAGGTGAGTATTGTGGAAGTGGTAGAATATGACATACAGTGGGGTCATGGTAGTTTGAAATCAGAAATCAATTGCCAGTTAATAGACTTTTTTGCCGTATGAGTATTTTATTTATTTCAAATGGCAGGCGTTTTGATAGCTATCATAAGCCCTTTAATTGACTTCGGGCTTCACAGAGGGAAGGTTCATCAAAGTAGCAGAAAGTCGAGGGGTGGGGAACAGAAGACCGATTCACAAATGTAAAAGAGGCAGACAGACACAAAGGCAGAGAAAAAGGTGAGGTGAGTATTGTGAAAGTAGTCGAATATGACAAACAGTGGGGTGATGGCAGTTTGAAGCCAAAAGTCAACTGCCGGTTAATGGACTTTTTTGCCATATGAGTATAGGTTGCCCAGTTTGCACTACGTGAAGGTAAGTCTATCGCACACCCCATAATACTCTTACAGCTTTGCAGTAAATTATCAAATCCTGGGAAACATTAAAATCTAGGGGAACTTATCGTGGAGATTACTAAGCATAATTCAATGTTTATTAGTGTAGCAATCACCATAATTATCTCTATTTGTGCCAAACGTCTTTTAAGGTTTTGGTTTTTGTCACACAGATGTATTTCGTACGAATGACAGGTATTCCTATTTACAATTTACATGTAGAAAGCAACACACACATGATGCATTGTTTCTAATGGGTGCATTTTATAATGGCAAAATAAAATCTCACATTTCTGACTCCTTATCGCCTAAAATCATAAAATTATGCAAAGGTAACTAACATACCTACGAACCGAAGGACCAAGTTCAAAACCCGGGTGTGTGATAGACTTACCTCCACGTGGTGCACCCTGGGCAACGTATACTCATATGGCAAAAAAGTCTATTAACCGGCATTTGACTTCTAACTTCAAACTACCACGACCCCCCTGGTTGTCATATGCGACCCCTTCCACAGTACTCACCTTACCTTTTTCTCTACCTTTGAGTCTGTCTGTCTCTTTTACATCTGTGAATCGCTCTTCTGTTTCCCCCCCCCCCCCCCCGACTTTCTGCTACTTTGATGAACTTTCCCTCTGTGAAGCCTGAAGTCATCTAAATGGCTAATGAAATCTATCAAAACGCCTGCCATTTGAAATAAAGAAGTTCAAAGCCCTTTAATTGAGATGAAAACAAAAGGAAACAAAAAATGAGTTCAATTTATTATTTGATCCAAAGATACATTTTTTCAACTCTTGAAGTGACACGAATGATATCAGACTGAGTAGTATACAACAAATGGAAATTTTTTCGTCGTATAAAAGTTAATTGCCCAAAGAGACAATGGACTCTCAAAGGTGACATCCAAACGCTTTCTTCCATAATTTGACATCCGCCCTCTCAATATCGGATCACATGAAACATTACCTCAGAGACAAGGCGATTGGAGCACGATTTACTTCCCTTGTAGTCAACTTTACTTCATTTTACAATATTTATTCATAGCAAATGGCTGGCTCTATGATAGTTATCATTAACCCTTTTGTTAACTTCGGCTTCATAGAGGAGAGGGCCATTAAAGCCACAAAAGTCGAGGGTTGGGGAACAGAAGAGTGATTTGCAGATGTAAAAGAGACTGACAAGAAGGTAGAAAAAAAAGGCAAGATGAGCACTCTGGAAATGGTCGAATATGACAAACAATTAGCCAAGTTAACACCACCACCCCCTCTAGAGTGTTTAGGGCTGTTAGATGGAGAAAGTTTGTTCGAAGAGACATACATAAAATAGCACGGTGTCACCAAAGGTGATTTGAAACTATGCTATGAAATATATCTCATTCCCTTAGTAAATATCTTCCTGGACTAAAAGTGTTTAAAGCATGGAGATAAATGTTGCGGCCCAGTTCATAGGTGTCTTTTGCTAACATTTCCCTTGGTTTTATTAACATACAATCATAGATTTTCTTATTTTTATTGTAGAACCTGTTTTTTTTCCTCGAAGCAGTGGACTTCGTCATTCTATTATATGGCAATCCACTTAAAGACCAATCGTAAACAAAGTGGAATAACGAATGAAAAAAAATACTCGTTGACCTTAAAAGGTCAACTTTCTCGAATTTCTAACTTTAACTTCGGACCAATTAAAATCGAGCGCCATTCATCCTATGATTCACCGCTAGGTCAGAAAAAGAAAGAACAAAAATTTCACCTTAACTTAATTTCTTTATTGTAACTTAGAAAAAACAAACAATTTATTTCAAGGAAATTGAACAATCATCACATCCTTTCCGAGTACCTTATTACACCGTCATCAACTTCGTATTCAGTGAATTCTTCCATCTCCTCTTCAATATCTTTACCCTCTGTGCGTCGGCCTATAGCAACGGATTGGGTAAATGCAGCAGCATACAGGTGGCCATAACCGATTGAACCCGATCGGCACCGATCCCTGCAAAAGGAAAATTCAAAAGGAATTAGGGACATAGATGTAAAATTATAATGAGTCGATGCTACTTGATAAAGAGTAGAAAACACCATTTCAGTAGTACTTTAATTAGTTGCAACCAGTTGATTGAATCTACTATTTATCTGTTCCAGTTTTCGGCCACACACGCGTTCAGATTCAATCTCTTATTCGTGGAATTTGTTTCTTTTGTCTGATTTGTCTCTGTTATTCACATTTTCTGCTCACAAGTCAAGATTCTGTCTCTTTCTCTTCAGCAACAGTCTCAACCTTCTTCCCATGGGGCAATTTAAAATCTTTCATAGAGGCTCGAATTTGCCCTCTTTGGTGAGTGAATACCAAATTATTGATTTTTAGAAAGATCAGACTGATATTAGTACCTACCTCTGAAGATGAAGGCGCTTGATGTTTTACTTCAGTTTGATCGGAGCTTATTACTTTGATGATTCTTTAATTAAAAAATCAATTTTGGTATGTATTCGAAAATTTTAACTCTGCTGATGAGTTTGCCAAATTTTGGTAGTTGTGGAATAACTCTCATTAGATTAGAAAAGCTCGTTTTCTAGTGCCTGAATTCGACCTTGAATTGCTATATCTTCCGATTAATCTGCCTATGTACTCAAACAATGTCGAAAGAGAAAATTAGTAAGACCTAAAATATGTACTTTGAGCTCGCATGACGCGAAACTTATAAAATGACCTTTATCAGTGGGAAATTTCTTAATCGTGGCGAGCCATCGAGGTATAGTCATTAGTAAAGGGGTCGGGTTAAAAATGTTTACGAAAATCCAAGATTGTTTGTGCGGATATTAACCAGCATGCACTATATTGATTCCGAATTTCTCAATAATGAATCGAATCAAGGCCTATTAATCAACTGCATATTGCCTCTGTGCCCCTATTTTATAGGATGTTTAGTCAGTAATACTTTTACCTGCCGTTTTCTTTCCTACAACTAGGTCATACGTATCAATTTTCCAATATCCAATAGGATCGATCGACAAAAAGCACTGGTCATCAAATTGATTATGTTAAAAGATCTTTGCATTTCTATTTTTTATTCTACTTACCTTCTAAATAATCAGAACAAATTTTTCTTTTTTTGCAAGTATAAAGAAAAAATAATATGATGAAATCAAGAAGCACTATTGAGGTGAAAAAGTTTTTAAATTTTGCACGTGTTTTAAAGGGGTGTCATTACATGAACGTGGTTTCTATTTCATCATCCATAAATGACAAATAACAGAGTACTTTTGGGGGTCTGACAACGCAGTATTCAAGGGGTTATGACAATCTTTTACATGCCCTTGTACTTAAGGTAGAAGAAATAAACAGCGTAGAGTGTGTAGTTAGTATTTAATAATTAACAATTAATTTGATGCACTTATTTATCTTAATAATCTGTGGCTAAAATATGCAAAATACCAGTTTGAATTTCGAAAAAGGGAATTCAACATTCCATGGACTTAGTGATTGGGCGAGTTCGAGTCTAATTTGAATTGTAAAAATAAGTCTTATAACCCAAAGAAGAAGCTGAAACCTACATGATCCATTCGACGGCGAACAAGAGCGATACTGCTGCGGTATTGGCGCCAAGAGATGATAGGATTGTAATGATGATTATGATACTGGCACTGGGAACCATTGGAATAGCGAGAGTCGCGAAACCCGTCAGAAGCCTAACAATAAAGATCATAGACTTTAAAATTGTGGAGTACTCTTATTACACAAACATTGTCAACCGTAAACACATATCACTTATCCATTGCTTTGAATGCTACTCATGACCATACGCTCAAGGGAAAGTCAATGCTCATGGAGTTCTCGACAGGCCCGATTCTGACAGTCTCATGAACGCACCGAATTGATATACTATTATGTTTTACAATTGGGGGTGTGTGTGATAGACTTATCCCCAAGTGGTGCACCCTGGCCACCGTACATCCATATGGAAAAATAGTCTATAAACTGACAGTTGACTTCTGACTTCATACTACCATGACCCCCCCCCCCCCTGTGTGTCATATTCCACCACTTTCACAGTACTCACCTTTCCTTCTTCTCGACCTTTAAATCTGTCTCTTTTACTTTAATGAATTTTCATGAGTTTTACTTTGATTTCACGTATACGTCCAATGGAATTGATGTCGCTTCTATTCTCCCATGAAACACATTTATTTAAGGCATGGCTTTTGTCTGATTTGTTTTATTTTAACGAAGTCTGTAGAAGCTTAGCGACTTCTGAGTTGTGGCCTACCCCTGGTAGAGGTAGCGCGAATTCAAATTGCATTAAGGATGCAGAGAGTGAGACCACTTACGCAATGAGCACGTAGGTTCCAATTGTAAGATCAAATCCAGTGAGTTGAGCAATGAATACGCAGGCAACCGCTTGGAACACACCGGCACCATCACCCTTCAAGGTTGCAGAGAAGGGAATTACGAATTGACTGACCGTCTTCTTTATTCCATATTTGTCACAGGCCTCCATCATTTCAGGAATTGCAACCAACCTGAGGAAAAACTCTTGGCTCACTTTCATGAAAATTTAATAAACAGAGCAAATTCCAATGTCGCTGAATAAGTTTCCTTCACCAATTTAACTACAATGATTGCCTATTGCTATCCGAATCGTAAAATCAAATTCTGAGTGAAAGAACTCTAATGGCAGAAGTAGTATTTATTCACCTAATGAGCTTGGAAATTTCATAAGGCTCACAGAATTTAACTGAATCAGTTTGACTAAAAATTTACACTCATGAGGCCTTAATTCAAACTCCCTATCAGTTAGTTGACAAAGTCACAGACACATACGGATTTGAATTCAGGGAGGTAAACTATTGACCTCAAATTATTGTCTCTTTCCACAAATTGAAATACCTTTTTTACAGGTTAATTTTCCGTTAAAAGGCTATTGGCAGCCCATTTCTCGATGTCTACACGCAATAGCATACTCCAAATTGGCGTAATAAAACAAACAAAGCTTAAATTTAACTCTTTTTTCATTCCAGCTTTAAATGAGCCCACTTACAAAACGGGGTTAATCGTGCTACCTACAAGTTTGCACGCAATTTGAATTTGGCAACGCACCATTTGCTCACTTAGATGACGAAATAGTAAATACCACTTTGGCAGTGTGAATGCTACTTTAGTGAGACAATTAAGACAGCATTGACCCAATAATACAGACCACATGTGGCAGGTTATATGACTTACCTCCACGTGGTGCACCCAGGGCAACGTATACTAATACGGCAAAAAAGTCTATTAACTGGCAGTTGACTTCTCACTTCAAACTACCATCACCTCACTCTATGACATATTCGTCTATTTCACAGTACTCACCTCACCTTTTTTCTACCTTTGTGTCTGTCTCTGAAACTCTTCTATCCCCCCCCCTCTCCTCTCGAATTTTTCACTTTGATGTTCCTTCCCCTCTGTGAAGCTTGAAGTCAACTAAAGGGGTATTGATAACTATCAAAATGCCTGCCATTTGATATTAATAAATTTCGTGAAATTTCATGGTGACTTACCCTTAGTCCAAATTATTCATTAATTTTCAGCGAAAGAAATTGATTGGTTAAAATCATGATTAGTTGTAAAGAGACATAAGAGAATTAGGATGCTTAGTAGAAGTTGAGACTTAAATCAAGGCGTCATTTGCGTTTAATGAATGCACTTCAATGTAATACTTTCTAATATTTTAATGCCCAAGTTCCAAAAGCATCTCTTGGGTGTCTAAATGAGGTCGAGCAAACTCAGTAGACATTCAGTTCATATCCATCAATTTCTCTGCAACTGCCAAAATGCACATGACCAATACTTAGCACCAATTTAACAAATTCTAATTGAATTGGAAAAGTATGTAGTTAAATATGATTTCTTAAGGGGGGGGGGGCGATAGACTTACCTCCACGTGGTACACCCAGGGCAACGTATACTCATACGGCAAAAAAGTCTCTTAAGCGGTAGTTGACTTCTCACTTCAAACTACCATCACCCCCACTGTATACTTCAGCAGTACTCACCTCGCATTTTTTCTACCTTTTCTATCTTTGTCTTTGAAACACTTCTGTCCCCCCCCCCTCTCGACTTTTTGTCACTTTGATG